CACCCTCGCGAGCCGAGATGCATCTTTAGGGCCTCTTTCACAAATCTTAATTAAACTCATTGACCGAGAGTACATTCTGTTTCTTGCATGATATACATAATGCATCATTTATCCTTATTTAATCTGTAATGAATAATAAGGAAAAATAATAATAATTATATGCATTATGCGAGAAACGGAATGCACCCCATTCATAGAGTGCTTTCCATTTAGTGACACAAATCGACACAAGTATCATTTTGTGCTTGTTAATCATTGAAAACCAAGAAAGATAAAACGATACTGTGTCACTAAATGGAAAGTACCCCCCATAATCAAATCTTGTATTTAAGATTATCTTAAATATTAAGAGATTATCAACCCATCACAGAATCATATTTATCTTAAACCACAACCACAACAAATCATAGTCGAAGAATAGGAGAATATTCGACTATGATTGGTCAATTTCTTATGGCTTAAAGCTTAAATCATCTATTGTAGACCGGGATTTATGGATACCGGCCAATTTCAGGCCGGTATCATAATTTAAAAACTATTATAGCGGTATTCTGAAATTAGGATTTTCATAAAATAGAATCTCAAAAACTCTCAAGAATAGAATTCTCAAGAATTTATTATCAATAATTGTTAATAAATTTGGAACACTCATATAATTGATTATAATATATTTCCCCACATATTTCCTTTTTTTATATTACATAGAATGCAGATAAAATTGAATATTTAAAATTGAAAAAAATAGCTTAATTATTATAATTACATGTACATTACATTATGTAAAATTTATTTTTTTAGTTAGATTATATATGTATCTTACTTGTATGTATGTATCTTACTATCAGACATTGTACAAATGTGAGATTAATATATGCCTATTTCAACGAGTATTCATATGTATCTATAAAGTTTGTACTCGTGAATTTCATATCAAGCAAATATTCATAATTAGTCTTTCTACATACATCTGTATACAGCAAAAATATAATATACTTTATATCTTTCAATCATCATCTTCTTCTTCTTCATCTGGCTCTTGTAAATGATCCAGTTTAAGCTCTTTCAAACGATCAACTTTAATCACCGGTCGATTTTGTTTACATATCCTCTTTGGTTTCTGCCCGATCACATATTCTGGCAAGACAATCTTACTGCTTCTAAATACAGGCTTATCATCCGGTTCTGTAATTGCAATATCCTCTACTGCCTCTGTTTGTGGCTTTCTAAACACTATTTGTGATGATGATGATTTATGTTTCTTGGATTTGAATCGTGTCTCTGTAAAATCATGTGAACTAGAAGGTTCAACATCCATCTTCTCTCCACACTCGTCGATTTCTTCTTTCTTTCTACGTGCCTTCAATTCTCTCAGGAATGACATAGCAGCCTGCGTGTTACTGCGCTCCGTCATGTCCTCACTGGACACATCATCCAGACTATATTTGACCCATTTATGTGGATTTCTATGATAATCTGGGATATTTCTAAAACTCGCACGTGGCGCCGGACCTTCAGGACGCTTGAAGATACTCTCCCTACCGCGAAATCTCTTGGTTTCTCTTTTCTGTCTGCGGTCGTCTCTCGTATCTGGTCTCCCTTCGCGTTCATCCGTCTCATCTTCATACATCTCAGACCTGTCATGCTTATTGCATTTATTTTCCGCGATCGAGAGCTGATCAAACAACAACCGCTGTCTATTGGCGAACGCTGCGTCACCACCGCGTAGAATAAAATCAGTGGACGTGTGCATTTTGAAGATCGCGACGCTCTTCGCTACAATTGTTCACTTTATAAATTTATCATATTCCTTGCAAATAATAAATAAGCATTAAGTATTAAATATTTCAAACCTCCAAGTTGACGCCAGCTTTATTTTAGGTTATGTTAATGTTTCGTTTGCAATGACACAACGCTGCCAACCTCAAGTGAACAAGCGGATAAAAAATTACTTTTTATAGTAAATTTTATTATCTCGAATAGATCTATTTCTCTTTTAGCATTTTTTCCATTTATTTCATTTATTTAATTTATTTTCAATGTAACAAAAAAAATATAAGAAAATAAAAGTAAATATACATAATACATATAATATAATGATCATTAAAATTATAAAAATAATTAAAATCATTTTATAATATTTTAAACATTGTGACATCATTTTTGAATATAAAATGATTTTTTTCATTATGAAGTTATTTTTTTATATCTATATTGATTTTAAAAATAATGTAAATAGATCGTTAATTTCATTCTAACCTTAATTTTATTTTTAGCATTAGCGGGAAAGGTTATACCAATTTCGAATGGCCGCAAGAGGTAAACAGTCTTTTCTCGTAAAACTGAATTCAATAATTCGACAATACCGTGACGTGTTTCATTTGATAAAATGAGCAAACGGTTGAAGTTAGTTGGTCTCGCATCGTCGAGAACTTTACGTTCAGGAAAAACTCTTGCTAATACGGATTCTTCGGAGAAGACGTCACCTTATTTCGCCAGGAAGAAGAGAACCGGCTCGAAGAAACACATACCGATCAAGATCGAATACGAAGCGGCTGATGACAAGACAAATATCGAAGATACTAATCTAATATCAGATGTTGCGATAAAAACTGAAAATGTTGAGACATCAATAGATACAAAAGATATTAAAATTGAAAAACATGAGATAGAAGAGGAGTATGTAGAGCAATCGACAGATTTAAAAAACATTAAGGATGAGAAACAGTGGACACCACCGAATTGGGAGACTATTTTTGAAAATATTAAAGAAATGAGGAAATATGAGACAGCTCCAGTTGACACAATGGGCTGCCACAAGTGTACAGACCCTAATGCCACTCCTGTGATATCCAGATATCAATCATTAGTAGCTCTGATGCTGAGTAGTCAAACAAAAGATCAAGTTACGCATGCTGCTATGCAGCGTCTTAATAGTTATGGTTGTAAACCAGATATAATAGCAGCCACTCCCGATGAAGTTCTGGGCAAACTTATATATCCAGTTGGATTTTGGAAAGTAAAGATCAATATTTATTTATCTAAAAATAAAACATTCTTTCATTCTCTTTTCAATTTCATTTTCTCTTTACAATTCTTGTGTCTATTTTTATCAATATCAATATATCTATTTTCATCTTGATGTATTTTTTCTAATTTCAAGAGTTAAAATCAAGAGAGAAAAAAATAAAGAATAAATTAAATAGAAATTAACATTAATAGATATTAACGGATACCAAAAATAAAATAAATTATATAAAGAAAGTAATTCCATTTACAAGCTTTCCTTTATTTTCAATTTATGTTTATAAATGAATTGTTAAATAATATGTAACTATGCACATTTCCTATAAATTTCCTTTTAAATATAAAATTATTTTTTTATATAGAAGATATATGTATTTATTTTTAGAGGAAGGTAGAATACATAAAAAGAACGTCAGTGATCCTTCTAAATAAATATAATGGTGACATACCAAAAACAGTACAAGAATTATGTGAATTACCAGGAGTAGGTCCTAAAATGGCTCATATATGCATGAGAACTGCATGGGGAGAAGTATCTGGTATTGGTGTGGATACACACGTCCATAGGATTTGCAACAGATTAGGATGGGTAAAAAGATCAACCAAAACACCAGAGGAGACAAGAAAAGAACTGGAGGATTGGCTTCCTAGATCAATGTGGAGTGAAGTAAATCATCTCCTTGTGGGATTCGGTCAAGAAACTTGTTTACCTCGATTTCCTAAATGTTCAGAATGTCTTAACAAAGATATCTGTCCATATGGTTCAAAAAACATAAAGACAAAGAAGTGATGTTTATTTATATGTACACAATGTTGATTACAAAATATATTTATTTAGATTTTTTGCAGCAAATTTGTCAAGCCAGTCTAGCGTCTGGATTTCTTTTTAATCTTTTTACTACGTTTGTGCGCTAATTTCTGAGCTTTCCGTAATTTTTGACTATGCTTTATATTTTTCTGTCTTTCTAATTTCTGCTTTTGTTGGAACGCCTTACTGTTTTTCATTCGTTCTAATGCTGCTTTTCTAACTTCTCGCTTCAGTTCTTTCGAAGATTTCATCTCTCGAACATTGGACTTGGATTCTTGCTGTACTTGAGTCTTCTGTTTTTCTTGCAATGACATTCCTATAATCTCTTCGTCATCATCATTGCAATAATCGCTTTTATTATCTTCTTGTGTATCTTCTTTTTTTATTTTATTTTCACCTATCCATTTACTCCCTTCTGCGAGATCCGCAACATTCAGTTCTAAAATACTGACTGTATGACTTCCTAGATCATATTCTTGTTGAGATAACAATTTTTCTAGTTCTGGGACAACTTGCTGGGATAATGAATTTTTATAACGTTCTCGCGCCTAAAAAAAAAACATGACTATATTTTTTATAACTTTTCAAGATACGTAATATTTCCAAATAATATAATGTATAACATAGCTCACTTCTTGTTTAATTTTTTTTCGTTCCTCTTTCAGTTGCTGTTGCAATTGTTCCTGAGCTTTCCTCTTTCGTTCCAACTTTCTCTTATGAAATCCTCCTAAAAATTCTCTATATTTTTGCGTGAATATAAAAATTGATTTATAATTACAAAATCCATATAAACATCCGATTTTCCAAGATAATTACCGTCGCTTTTCCTCGTCGAAAACAAGTGTGATTTTTCTTCGCCTTTTCGGCTGACTGGGTTTTCTATTTACGTTGAGTAATTGCGGCTGAGGTTTTTCGAACATAATTACGACCGCTTTTTATGAAATTATTATTATTATTATTAAATACTGATATTAATCGTGTCTTCAATAAATCATTAGTTTATTTAACAAATTTTTTAAAGGCAATCACATTTATGTTTAGGTTATGTTAAAATAACATATTGGAGGAGTCTAGAGACCTTACAGCATAGATCTTATATATATATCTAGGTACGCAACGCGATATGCCTTGGCTGTGTTCGTAAATTCACTGCCAGTATTGAAAATCTATAGAATACGTCACGTAGACTATATGTTTTTAATACTGGCAGTGAATTTACGAATACAGCGCTTATAAGTAAAATCAAGAGGTCGAATCAGTAGAACGAGAGAGCGATATCTTCTATTTGAATGAAACTATGGATGCTTTCCATTTAGTACACAAGTTGACACAAGTACAAGTCGTGTTATTTTTCTTGGCTTTCAATGATTAACAAGGATAAAATGATACTTGTGTCGACTTGTGTCACTAAGGGTACGGTCAAAAGCTTACTACAAATGCTTTAAAGCATTTTTGATTGGTGCATTAATAAAATTTTTTATTTTGATTGGACAATCAAACGCTCCGAAATATTTGTAGTGTTACATTGACCGTATTCTAAATGGAAAGCACTCTATGATGCAATCATAGATATATAATAGACTCAGCATTAGTTTTATATATATATATATATATATATATATATATATAAAATAATTAATAATATAAAAAATAAATAAATATAAAAAATTAATAATAATAATAATAATAATAATAAATAATTAATAATAAATAATTTCATAATATTATATCATAATAATATATCATATATATATCATAATAATTTCATTATATTATATTATTTCATATTATACGCTTTATTTTCTTCAGCATTAAGGTTATTTCAGTCTCTATGGAAGCAGCCATCTTTGTACTTTAACTGCTTTGTGGCAATCTCGCTAGTTGCAGTAGTCGCAATAGGAAGTACGTCAAAATCAATGACGTCATAGAATTCAAGGCAATACTTTCGGAGTGCACTACTCTCTATATCAGAACGCTATTCGTAGTACTGACAATACTCGGAGTGAATAAAGAAACGCACCCTGTATGTACACGTCTCACGTGATTCTGGTATGCAACTTTCGAAATGAATATGGCAGATCTCCCCGCCTCGAACATGCCTCATCGCTTTAATTTATGTTCTATTCTTTTATTCTTAAGTCAATTAAAAAAATGCGATATCAGTTAAAAAAATGCGACTCAAGCTGCTTTCTAATTTCTCTCTCTTTTTTTAAGCCCATGAAGACAAAAGATTAGAGAAATTTGATCTTTAATTTTGGAATTAGAGTGCTCCGTTCAATATATTTGCGTTTTCGATTAGTTGACTCAACTCTATCTTTTTTATTTCATTTTTTGTTTTTCGTTTTGTCTCTTTTTTCTTTATACTCGAACTCGATTTGGAGTCAGCAAATTAAATGCACTAGATATAATATCGATAGATATCAGGCAATTATATATCATGAAACGAAATAAAAATGAAGTAACAAAACAAAAGTAAGAAAATTTATTAAATTCCGATATATAAAGTTGTATACTGCAGTAAATTTTTATAATTTTCATTTTGTTTCAAAATGCTCGACCCCCAAGTGTTTCTTATAGGGCCGGTCTCATCAATTCCGGTTAACGTTATCAACCGGTTAATTTGGCCAGCAGAATTGCCAACAGTAAGAAATCCAAAATCAGTCTTGGTCTTGTACTTCCTAATTTATTCATAATAAAGAGAAAATGTGCAGAGTGTAAATTATAATAAAGTAAGTATTATATAAATGTATGCTTTGAAATATAAATACAGATGTTTACAACAAAAAATTAGGTTAGAAATGATGAAGTTTTTATTTTTACAGTTGGCAGTTCTCAAATTTAACTCGCTATTTAACTTAACCAGGAGTTGGTGAGACCAGCTCTTAATGACCATAAAAATCCACAAGAGTCCGAATAATAATAAATTGCAAATATAGTTATGATATGAAAAAAAGCATAATTAACTATTAAAAAATTAATCACTAAAATTATCACTTCGGTGTATTTTGATATATTCATAGATATATTATTTATATAATTAAAACTCAGAGTATTTTATTTTTTCTAAAGTCTAAGAATTTTTAAAAATCTAAAAGAATTTTCAAAATAAATATAAATTTTGTATAAACTTTCATATTATTAAATTAGATTAAACTTAAAAATCTATATTAATTATTATATATTACATATTTTCTACATATTAAGATACTCAGTGATATTTAATTTAGCTTTATTACAATTTTATTACAGAGATAAAAAATTTTATAATAATGAATAAAACATATAGCATATGAATCGATTTATTATTCACATAGGAATTAAAAATATAAATTGCATATTATTCAAACGTATGTCAGAATGAATCATTTAGAAATGATATTACAAAAATACAGGACATTACGCTTGTATTTCAATATTGAAAAATATTATTTATCATCACAGAATTTATCCCCTGCCTCTACCAGCTTGAGATCCACCTGGTTGATTCTGTTGATTTAGCCAAGGCGCTGAACCAGTACCTTTGCCTCTTTGGTTTTGTCCTCTTCCTCTACCACGAGCTGAAAGAATTTCATTACATAATACTGACAGTACATAACCATAATACATAATACATAATATATATAAATCTTATCTTAAAAATAATTTAAATTTACAAAAAGCATTTGTTTTATCATTAAATATCTTTATTAAAAATCTAATATATAAGCTATTATTTTTCATTACTATATATAAACTATTATGTTTCAATTGGAAAATAAGATGTAAATAATCTAATTTTAATTATTTTATAATTCATTTTTAAAACAAATATTGAAATTACAGTCTTTTGTTCTCTCTATTTTTCTATCTATTAAATTTGACTTAGCTACTTCTCACTTTTTATAAAAGTAATAAAAAATATATAAAAAATTGTCTTTTGAGATATAACTGCTTTTATTAATTTGAATGATATTCATAGGAGCAATAATCACGCGCTGCAAGACTTTGCATACAATGGAGAAACAGGAATAAGAATTAGAAATAAAATTTTGGAAATTAGAAATAAATATTAAATGTAACATACAATGAATACAAATAAATATAAGATTGCTACTTATGTCCGTTTTACATTACATTTAATCTATATTTCTAATTTTTATTCAAAATTTTTATACAAAAAAATAAATATCAAAATTTTTTTATACAAAATTTTGATATTTATTTCTGTTCCTAATTCTTATTCTTGTTCCGTTGTACATCATTAAGATCATTGTATATACAAACCTTGGGCACGCAATATTGCGGACTTTCCTCTACCGGCCGTGCCTGATCCTTTACCACCGGGTCGTTTGAACATGGGTGCGTTTTTCAGCATATCCGGTAGTATGAGGAACCTAATTTTCGAGCCGCGAATATACACGTTTTCTAGTTGTCCTACTTGGCCATCCCGATATGTCACTGTAATATTCTGCATCTGACAGTTCATATTATCTTCCGCCTCGATCAGTTTTCCGCGATATACCTCGCCGGTGTTTGTCTCACAGGTTATGGTGTGGCCTTCGGCCTCGTGAAGTACTTTAATGGGAACTCCGATCGACATTATGACAGAATACCCGCTTCCGAATGCTCTTAATTTAACGCTTCCTTTAATTTCAGAAAAATCTCTGTTGTAATTCGCAAAGAAAAATATCAAGGACAAGAATATCTGAACAACCACACACCTCAAATTATGTACGTAAACCTCGCCTAAGGCCTGTTCTACAATACGTCGTGTATCGGTGTCGTGAGTCGTGGACCAATAAGAATGGGCCAATCACAATCAAGTATTCTTCTCTTTGTCTGTGATTTGATCAATTCTTGTGGCTGCGACACCGACTCACGACACATTGTAGAACAGGCCTAATGGCGTGAAGTAGTATGCAAGTGCGAACGATAAGTCGAAAAAAATGCGAGTTCGATCGATATATCAAAAAGAATAAATTTCTAATTTCTGCTGACTGGTTTATGCTTCGATGTCAATCTTAGTCTTAACCTTAAAGGTTGGTAATGAAGAATTCTGTAAGGTCATTTATGCTTCCCTAATCTTAAAGCATAAACGATCTTATGACATTCTTCATTTCCAACTTTTAAGGTTAAAACTAAGACCGAAGCATAAACCAGCCTTGCATTCTCGCTAATTCTATAAATTTTCATTCGAATCGAATTATGTAAATATTAATTATTACTTTTTATTTAACCAGTTTTTTTTCTTCAATATCATGTAGAAGTTGAATATGCATGTCAAATTATCGACAAAATGTTAAAGATTATATTCTAGACAAATTCTTGTAACTATCAAAGAGATTCGGGAATTTGCAGGTAATTGAAAAATATTAATATTACCAGAGAGAGAAGACTTATCCTTAGTAATAATAATAAAAATTTTCACTTTTCACGTTTCTGCTTTAGAAAAAAATTATATGACAGTATTTTGTGCTATATTTTGAAACGTTTATGATCAAAACAAAGAAATTTTATCGATTGACCAATCAAAAAACGCTTCAATATTTGTAGCATTAAGGCCCGGTTGCATCAACATTATTTTGATTTTGAAGTGAGACTTAACATGTATCTGTATTTATCTTTCTTTTTAAATAACAAAGACAAACACATATTTAAGTCTCGCTTAAAGCTAAAATAATGTTGGTGCAATCGGGCCTAAGTAGTTTGTACTTATCTATAAAATAAAATGGCGATGATGCTGGATATTTATAAATTTTGTCAACTGCGGAGAACCATTACATATATAAATCTAATGTTTATAAAAGATTTTGATTTACAGGAAGAGTAAAGAAAAGCGTATCGATGTTTAGTATCAATTTATCACTTATTGTCTTCTCATTGAAATTATGTACATATGCAATCATTACTATCCATGTTTAATTTTTCCGTTCAACAGCTGATAAATACGACGCAATAGATATAAATGCAATTAAAAAAAAAAAAAAATACGAGAATCTCAATTTTGCGTCACTTCACGTGAGCGAATTCTAACCAAAAAGAGATAAGAATTTACTTTGAAGTATCCAATTCAACGTAGAAAGCTTTTGTTCCCTGCTTCTTTCGGTCCTTTGTAAAAAGCATTTATATTAAAGATTTTTATTTCTTTATATATCACCTCACCTTTGTATCACGTATTTTTTGGTAAATAGATATTATTGATGGCAAGTTTAATGTCTCGCGTGTAGAAATAGATCGATGCGATTTACATTCAATATTAAATTTTTAAAGGAAATTCTGTTCTATGCGTAAAAAACGCAACGTTCGATCTATGTATATCTATATTTGGGTATCCAACGTGATAAAAGATAAACCGTTTATTGCAGCAAAAATTTTCATTACAGAGAAAATAAGGTCGCACCTCGTTCAACGTCCGGGAGTTGTTCTTTCTTTCTTTTCTTTGTACAATACAGCTACAATATAATTCGAAGAGGTGC